TCTCCACACTCATGCTCGTCGATACTTCCCGTCTTTATAGTCTCCTCCCCTCTTCTTATGCTCCGTCCTCTTCCTCTCTCGTCTATCTCTCTATCCCTCCTCTCCACTATCCTTCACTCTCTTCTTTTCCTCACCTCTTAAATCCTTCAATTTCTACGAGATTCACTATTCCCTTACCCCCCCCCCCCTTCCATATGACTTTATCTTCCCTCTCTCCCTTCCCTTCCCTTTTCCCAGCCCCGACTCTGCCCCTCCCTCTAACTCCCCTCACTTCCTCCCTTTCCTCATTTCCCCTCTTTTCTCCCCCGCTCTATCTTGTCCCTCTTCCACTTCCCTTTTCTCCCCTTCCCCATCTCTCTCTCATTCCTCTTCCCCCCCCCTCCATGTGGTCCCCTTACTCCTACCCTTCCGTCTCTTCCCCCCTCCCACCCCTCCCCCATCCCTCAAACGTTCTTCCAATCTCCCCTTCCCACTCCTCCGCTTCTTCCCCCCTCCCCCCTCATGCTTGCTCCTCCCACCCTTCCCCTCTCCCCCCCCTTCCTCCTCCCAACCCCTCCCCCTCCTCCACCCCCTCATTCAGACCCATCTACCCCCCCCCTCTCTCTCTCCCTCTCCCCCCCACACAAGGTCAGACCCATCTCTAACCCCCCCCCCCTCTCTCTCTCCCTCTCTCCCCCACACAGGTCGACCCCATCTCTAACCCCCCCCCCTTCTCTCCCTCTCCCCCCCACACAGGTCGACCCCATCTCTAACCCCTCCCCCCCTTCTCCCTCTCCCCTTCTCCCCTTCTCCCTTCTCCCCCCCTTCTCTCCCTCTCCCCCCACACAGGTCAGACCCATCTCTAACCCCTCCCCCCTCTCTCTCCCCCCCACAGGTCGACCCCATCTGGACGACGGACCGCCTGGTGACCCTCGACGAAGACACGCTCCTGGAGACGGCGTGGCGCGGCCTCAACTTCTCGCTCCGCCCGGGCCAGGTCGAGCGAGGTCAGGTCAGGGTCAAGTGCGTGGCGTCGTACCCGAAGCTGTACTGGAAGAGCTCCGAGGTCGTCCTTCAGGTGGTGGGCGCGGAGGGCCTCGCCGGCGCCAGTGGGTACAATTCGCAAGGTGGGTTGGAGGGCGTGGTGGGGGTGTTGGGGGTGTGGCTGGATTGGTTAAGGGGTGGGTGGATTGGTTAGTGGATGGGTGAGGGGGTGGGTGGGTGGAGGGGTAGATAGGTGGAGGGGTGGATGGGTGAGGGAGTGGGTGGGTAGAGGGATAGGTGGGTGGAGGGGTAGATAGGTGGAGGGGTGGGTGGATGGGTGAAGGGATAGGTGGGTAAGTGAAGGGGTGGGTGGGTGGGTGGGTGGAGGGGTGGAGGGGTAGGTGGGTGGGTGGGTGGTTAGTTGTATGAATGTATGAATGAATGGATGAATAGGTGGGTGGATGGATGGGTGAGTGGGTGGATGAATCCCTTCCCCTTCCCCTTCATCCCCCATCAATCCCTCTCCCTTTCTCCCCCCCCCCTCCCTCCTCCCTCCCTCCTGTCCTCCTCCTCTTGCTCCTCCCCCCTCCCTCCATCAATCCCTCTCCCTTTCTCTCTTCCTCCTCCCACCGTTCCTCATATCCTTCTCCTCTTCTTCCTCCCTCCTTTCCTCCTCCTCTTCTTTCTCCCTCCTTTCCTCCTCCTCTTCTTCCTCCCTCCTTTCCTCCTCCTCTTCTTCCTCCCTCCTTTCCTCCTCCTCTTCTTCTCCCTCCTTTCCTCCTCCTCTTCTTCCTCCCTCCTTTCCTCCTCCTCTTCTTCCTCCCTCCTTTCCTCCTCCTCTTCTTCCTCCCTCCTTTCCTCCTCCTCTTCTTCCTCCCTCCTTTACCCGTTTCATAACGCAGTAACGCCGGCAATTTTTATTATTTTTTCTCTCCCTTTCAGGATTCGCGCTGACCGACATCGCTCACCCGCTGGACATCGCTCCCGTTCTCCTGTTTTTGCCTTGTCTACACTTTATCGTCGCCTTCTTCTAGCTCCCTCTTTTTCTTTTCTATCGTCGCCTTCTTCTAGTTCCCTCTTTTTCTTTTCTATCGTCGCCTTCTTCTAGTTCCCTCTTTTTTTTTTCTTTTCTCATGTTTTCTTTTCTTAGCTTCTGTTCTTTCGTGCCTCTTTTTGTATCGAGTCTCTGTCTCGTCTCTGGCAGGTTGTTTGTATATATATAAAAATATTTTTTTTTTTTGTACTGTTTTTTTTTTTTTTTTTTTTTTTTTTCATCCGCTTTTGATGTTATGTTTGTGGCTGTGTATTTTTCCTCCATTTTTTTTCTAAACGTAAGATGTTCAAAAGTGTTTTCGCCGATAATTGCTGATTTTCGTTGCCTTTATATATTTAATTCCTCTGCTACTCTCTTTTACTCTCTCTCTATCTCTCTCCTTTTGTCTCTCCCTCTCTCCCTCCCTCCCTCTTATTCTCTCTCTATTTATGCTTCACACCTTTCTTTTCTGTTCTACCTCCTCTCTTCTCCTCACCTTCTTTCTTTCTCACCCTCTCTCTCTCTCCCTCCCCCTCCCTCCCTCCCTCCCTCCCTCCCCCCTCCCTCCCTCCCTCCCTCCCTCCCTCTCCCTTTCCCTTTCCCTTTCCCTCCCTCCCTCTTTCTCTCTCTCTCTCTCTCTCTCTCTCTCTCTCTCTCTCTCTCTCTCTCTCTCTCTCTCTCTCTCTCTTCTCTCTCTCTCCCTCCCTCTCTCTCCTTTCCATCTCTTCAACACCATTCGTGCTTGTATTAAAGTGATAATTCTAAGTCTGCATTTTATTTATGTTATCTAAAGAGATCTCTGTTATTAGTTGTGATTGTTTACTGTTTATTGTTTTTGGTCGTATGTTTGTTTTTTTTTCCTCGAAATTTCCTTTCCATTGTGTTGTTATTCCTTACTTCCGTGGGAATCAACGAAAAGCACATAAGCAAGGGAGGAAGGAAGGAAACAGATAAACAAAGGGGGAAGGAAGGAAACAAATAAACAAAGGAGGAAGGAAGGAAACAGATAAACAAAGGAGGAAGGAAGGAAACAGATAAACAAAGGAGGAAGGAAGGAAACAAATAAACAAAGGAGGAAGGAAGGGAACAGATAAACGAAGGAGGAAGAGAACAAATAAACAAGGAAATAAACAAACAAACAAGGAAGGAACAAAACAAATCAATATTATTGATTGCCTCTTATGCTTTTCTCTCCTCCTTCCCCCCCCCTCCCCCCCTAATTCCTCCGAATAAAGAGAAAGGAGAAGAAGGCAAAGCAGGAGGAGAAGAAGAAGGAAAGAAGAAAATGAAGGAGAAAGGGAAGATGATGAAAGAGAAGCAGAAGAAAATAATAAAATAAGAAAAACGCTATTAAAACGAAGAATAAGAAATTGTACAGAAGAATGAGAGGAAGGAGGGAAAAACAGAAGATACGAGAGTAAAGATAAGAAGGAAAAGAAAGGAGGAGGAAAAATAAGAAGGAAAGGAAAGGAGAAGGAAGAAGACAAAGGAAGATGAGGAAGAAGAAAAAAATGGAAGAACGCTGAAGAAACGAGGACAGAAGGAACGAAAAATGAAGATAAGCAAAAAAGGAAGAAGAGAATTTAGCGAATGTGGAGGAGAAAAAGAGGCGATGATGAGAAAGAAAGAGAAAAAAAAGAAAAGAAAAATGGTCTAGTTAAACAGAATGAGAAAACATCATGAGAATCTCCCCCCCCCTTCCCTCTCCCCCTCTTTTTGTCTCTTCTCCTCCCCTACTCCCAATGGTCCTGCCCCCCCCCCTTCCTCGTCCTTCTTTTCTTCCCCTCCAACTCCTCTTTTCTTCCTCCTTCCGTTCGTCTTCCCTTCCATTTTCCTTTTACCTTTCTTTTCTCGTCTCATTCTCCTTCCTCGCCCATTCCACTCCCTCCATCCTTACCCTCCCTTTCTTCCATCCTCCTTTCCCTTCCCTCTATCCCCCCTTCATCCTTGCTCCTTCGTTCTCCTCCCACTAATTCCCCTTTCTCCTCCTTTCTTCCGTCTTCCATTCCCCACTTTTCTCCCCCCCCCCCCATCCTTCCCCCCCACTTCTTTATTCCCCCCCCTTTCTTCCTCCCCTATCCTTACTCCCTCCCTTTCTCCCCCCCCCTTCCCTTCCCCTATCCTTACTCCCCCCCCCTTCCCCTCCCCTCCTTCCCTTCCTCTATCGTTACTCCCCCCCTTCCCCTCCCCCCCCTTCCCTTCCTCTATCCTTACTCCCCCCCTTCCCCTCCCCTCCTTCCCTTCCTCTATCCTTACTCCCCCCTTCCCCTCCCCTCCCCTCATTTCCCCTCCTTCCCTCTTCCTTTTCGTCCTCCCTCTATACCCACAAACAGGAAGAACAACGAAGAAAGTGTTAATAAACGAAATAAGATAAAAGAAAAAAAAATCACGAAAAATAACGAAAATGGCGAAAAATAACTAAAAAAAAAAAAAAAAATGAAAGTAAAGTTTACATCCTCGAGAATGAATAATGAAAGTGTTTGCTAACTTTTAGCTTCCTGAAAAAAAAAAGTTTAGTGAGAGAGAGAGAGTAAAAAAAAAAAGTGCATCTTGTTTTGATACTTAATCAGCTGTTTTTGAACATTTAAGAACCATTTATAAATAATCCCTCCTTTCCTTTCGCCTTCGTTCAAAAAACATTGTTCACAACGAAACTCTCTGTGTTTGAGTGATGATGATGGTGAATTGTGAACCTTCATTTAAAGCCCAAGTATGTTAAATAACTTAAATGATATAAATGTTTAAAATATATTTCGAGAGAAGAGTGGGAAAGTTAAGCAGGCTCTCTTTGCCTAGCGTTCTAGTCTTACAGCCCAGTCATGAGAGCCTCTCATATATATATATATATATATATATATATATATATATATATATATATATATATATATATATATATATATATATTATATATGTATGTATGTATGTACGTAATTTCAGTGTTGATAGAGGCCTTTTCCCCCTCATGGTATAATGTAACTTGTACTCAATATATGTCTGTCTGTTCTGAATCACAGTGTGAGAGCGAAAATGGCATTAGTCAATCTTCAAACGTCAAACCCCTGATTATCTTTGTTATTCTTATTTATTTCCCTGAACCTTAAATAATATATTTATATGTTATCAAATTACAAAATCCACACAAAATCGACGTGCATCCTCGAAGAGTTACAATTTTACGTTTCATTTTAATGCCATTGTTTTTATTGATGTTTCATATATATATATATTTTTTTCTTTGCTTTTTTTTTCCTTCTCTCAGTTCAGTCGACAGACTTCAATTCGAAGCCTTTTGTTTTTTAAAAAGAAAATATTGTGATAAATGTATGAATTATCATTAAATCTCTATTGTTTTCATTCTCTTTCAAGTCTATTGAGTTCAAAATGGTGAGAAAAATACGATTTATTTTGTAAATTAACAGATAAAAAAAATCCGATTTACTTTATATACACATATATATTTTTGTGTCTAGTCGCACTGAGAATCTTGCATATACAAAAAAAAGTGAATGTTCAGCTTGAATATTTTTGTAAATAGTCTTTCAGTCATTTTTGTACATTATTAATGCTTGCATACAAATAAAGGGTATTATGCATCTCGATATGTTTTTTTTATTTCTAACCAGCTTGGTATTGGACACACACTCCCACTCTCTCACTCTCACTCATTCTCACACTCACTCACTCACTCTCATATTCACACACACTCACTCACCCGTACACTCACAATCAATCTCTCAAACTTACACTCTCTCTCTCTCTCTCACACACACACACACACACACACACACACACACACACACTCACTCACTCACTCACTCACTCACTCACACACTCACTCACTCACTCACTCACTCACTCACTCACTCACTCTCACTCACTCACTCACTCACTCACTCACTCACTCACTCACTCTCTCTCTCACTCACTCACTCACTCACTCACTCACTCTCTCTCTCTCTCTCACTCACTCACTCTCTCTCTCTCTCTCTCTCTCTCTCTCTCTCTCTCTCTCTCTCTCTCTCATACGTACATTCACACTCACGCACTCCCAAAAACTCTCACACTTACAATCATACTCACTCTCTCACACGTACACTCACACTCACTCACTCACTCACCCACTCACTCACTCACTCACTCACCCACTCACTCACCCACTCACTCACTCACTCACTCACTCACTCACTCACCCACCCACTCACTCACCCACTCACCCACCCACTCACTCACCCACCCACCCACTCGCTCCCTTGCTCACTCACCCACTCACTCACCCACTCACCCAAACACCCACTCACTCACTCACCACCCACCACCCACTCACCCAAACACCCACCCACTCACTCACTCACCCACTCACCCAAACACCCACTCACTCACTTACCCATTCACTCACCCACTCATTCATTCACTCACTCATTCACTCACCCACTCAATCACTCAACTCACCCATTCACTCATTCACTAACTCACTCGCCCGTTTACCCTTTCCTTGATTTACGGAAATATTTTACGTTATCTTGATTTGCTGTTACTAATGGTTATAACATTTTAGTATTTATAATGTCTATAATACAAATGACACCATCGATATTCATAGCGGTAGTAAAAAAAATGTTTTTTTCCCGCCAATTCAAATGAGGTAAGGTTACAAGGTCAACTAATTGACTCCTTTGTGGCTAAGTACTAGCAGAGCCATCTATGTGCAGAGACAATTCACAAAAATATAATTTTCCCTGGCGGCATCTGTTAATCTGTCTGACTCTTACACTCACTCTCACTCTCCTGCGCACACGCATGGGCACACGCGCGCGCGCGCACACACACACACACACACACACACACACACACACACACACACACACACACACACACACACACACACACACACACACACACACACACACACACACACACCATTCTCATTAAAATTTTATTATAATTAGAAAATAAAATCCACAGGGCAGAGAGGAAAAAAATGGACGCATTAAAAAGTTTCAGCAAAGTGTATTTTCGACGAACGACAAAAAATGTTGTGCATTTATGAATAATAAATATGATTAGGATTAAACAATTTCAAAAGTTTCTTTATCTCTCGAAAACCGTTGCTGTGAGAAGTTGGTTTTGTTACAAAAATATTTAAGTTTTTTTTATATCGTGTATTTTCTCCATTGTGACACATATTTTGATGTTTTTTTATTGTTTTTTTATCATATTAATGGTATCATTATAACTTTCATTATGATCTTTATTATTATTAATTATCATCATCATCATCATCATCATCATCACCATCATCATCATCATCATCATCATCATCATCATCATCATCATCATCATCATCATCATCATCATCATCATCATCATCATCATCATCATCATCATCACCTTCATCATCACTGACATTAAAATTATTACCAGTACCATCACCATCATATTCATCAATAGTACAAACATAACTACATAGTTGTTGTTACGGTTATTGCTCTTGACATAATAACTAC